TCAGATTAAAGTCAATTTTCAGACACATTAATTTTGAGTCGTATACACACACTAACTGAAGGCGAGGTTAAGTGTGCGTTTTAACCGATTCTTCTTAAATTTGCACACATTGCAGGTGTTTGTCTTGGCCTTTTGCTGTTCATTGGTTACAATATAACACAAGTTGGGAAATAATATGTCTTAGCTAAGTTTCCCCTAAAGCAACAATAAAATGCGAACACAGTTTTTTAGAGCAATCCTGGAGAAGGGTATAAATGATAGTTCGACAGGGTGATTGGTCAGCAAAAAAATTCGCCGCGCAAAAGTTGGATCAGTTCCTATATTTTTTTACTATTCGCGCGAACAAATTCGCCTAGTGGAAAATGGGCTCTAATTGAACCGACGTTTATAAGTTAGATCGCCGCGCGAAGGTACCACAAACTTAATCTTGTAGCAATACAGTGGAACCCCGTTAATTAATACGACCACCGTTCGGCCAAAATGTTTTGGTCGTATTAACGGGGTGGTCGTATTAACGGGAGTCGGATCAAATTACGGCACAGATGTTTTTTAGCATCTGTGCCGTAAATGTTTTTTTAATATCTTTGAAAAACGCTTTGTCAAGTTTACACTTTGTTTTAGTTGAATACAATCCAATTTACTGTTCAATTGTTTGACTATTAAATTACGTTTGTTTTCACTACATAAACGGCCAACGGGGCATTGTTTGATATATTAAGTGGTCGTATTAAAGAGTTGGGACATCAAAAGGTGGTCGTTTGGTCGTATTAACGGGCTTTCAGATGAGAAAAATACTAAGGTGTTGTTCGGAGAAATGAAAAGTGACGTATTATCGGGGTGATCGTATTAACGAGGTGGTCGTATGGCAGGGTTCCACTGCATCCGGGAAAATTCTTTTTTCTCCTATATTTTATAACACTATGTTATTCTTCATCTATCTGGCTACATTCGGCGAAAATTTGAAAGAAATTCGCCGAGTAAAGGTAGATCTCCTGAAACACATGCCTAGGTTATCCTGCACTAATGTAACCTTAAAATCTTACCATAGTTCTAGAAATATCCATAGCAGCAAAAGCTGTTAGGTGGTCGCATTCGCATATCAAGCGGTTACTATAGAACTTGTCTGTTACTTTTTTACATCCATCTGTCTTCCATCTATTTTCACCTAATCTTGGTTTCCAGTATGCACATGTTTTGAAATCGTTCTGAAAGTAAAATGAATAATTCAGATCTAAAAATGTTGTTATTTTTAAGAAACAATAAACATTACCCATGTTTAGTGTTTCAGATGTTATGCACTCAGGTGAAGATGTATGTTTGTGATGTTGTCTCAGAGTGGTAACTCGCCCAAAATCGCGGGTTAAAATTGACCGAAGTTCTCTTAAATCGCCCAAACTCGCACTTCTTAAAAGTTGCAGTTGTTGCTTAAATCCCCTAAAATCGCTTAAACTCTCATTATCTTTGCGGCGAGCTTAGGCGAGTACCACTTTAAATTTATGATTTTCGCCAATAAAAAACAATCAAGCAACGAGGACATCGCCATCCAAAATAAGAAAGTATCGCAGGAAACATCGTTTAAATATCTTTGTGTAGCTCTAAGCAGTGATCTAACTTGGCATAATCATATTGATAACATATGATTGCCAAGATCAACCAACGACTCGGAGAATTTCTAGATCTGGACACGCGTTAATCATTCTAGACCATGCACCACCCGCGATATTCTTCAACCGAAGCATTAGGAGAACTCAAATGGACAACGCCGACAAAGAGAAGACATAACCACAGATGCATGTTTATCTATATAAATGTATGAATGGCTTAATGATTTTGAATTAGCAAAGAATGAATTAAAACATCCATGAGCATTACACAAGACACCGCAGAGATCTACATCTACCGCGAGCAAAGACGAACAAGATTTCGCTTGTTCAACGACCAAGGTATCAAGCGTCTGTAGACTTTAGCAATCTAGAACATGAACTAAAAAACGCTACTTCATTATATAACTTTAAAAACTATTAAAAACACGGGTGTATACGAGGTATAAACCGTCCTCTCATTCTCTTTCGTCTTCTTTTATATCACTTCTTCACTTACTGATCTTTCTCTCTCTATCTTTATCTGTTTTCCACTTCAAATTACGTATCGCGGCCAAGTGTAGCGTACGACGTATGTATTTGTTTCGTGAGCACTCAGAGAGAACTAATGTCTTTGAAACAAAGAAGTGCGTTGTGTTCCGTTTCGATGCGGTCGGAGTGGAAATCAGGCTTTATTAATGCTCCTAAATAAATATATTGTATAGTTTTTCGTTTTACCTCAAAAAACCCTCAACAGTCTGTTTGATCCGTATTTGAATCGTCAGATGAAACAGACTGTTGTGGGTTTTTGAGGTAAAACGAAAAACTATATTACGCTCCATCTATATGGTATTGAGCACTGTTTATGTTTCGTAAACCAAAAACTTAAGCTAATTATATTGTATATATGTGTTGCTGTACATAGTGCATGGAGTCAATTTGATCATAAAATAGCCAGATTCTTCTTTATTTAAACTGAGAATTATATTTTTGACTTATGGTTCCTTAACCTTGTTGTCAGAATTAATATTATCATACATTTTTTTTCGATTACAGCGCGTGACTGTTAAATTGTTTTGTTTACGTTTAAACAAAAGACAGAAAATTAACGTGAGACAGAAAATTAACGTGTTTCCATACAGTCATAAAAATACGCTTCTAGAGCAATCAAGGCTCATTACAATGTAGTACATTAATTGAATTCAGCTGAGTTGAGTTATGATGTATTCGTTTGCAATCTATTATATTCCATAATGATTGTATTTCATTGTAGGTTAATAATTATTCACCTCAGTGTCGGTGAATAGTTTTATTCATTAGAAATAGCTTTGAAGAATACCTCTACAGACTGTTAAACAAAACTTTGTGGCTTTCTAATTGTGTTTTGCGAAACCGCAGCTTCGTTTAGTAGAAAACTTTCTCGTCTGCAGTATAACCGGAACAAAACGGGACGCCATTTTGTTTTTATCCAGAGATGAATAGCACAAGGATATGCGGAGCTGAGCAATCAATCAAATTGCGCGAAAAGCACTACGCGCAAACTCCCGAGTACGTATATGCTAATCTATAATATTCTGTTGTCTTTTACTCAACTATCCTACCATTTTACTCGATTCAATTCTGTTTTACTCTATGTCTTACTCAATTATTTTCCATCCTAAATTGAAAACTGCCATTCTCTTTGAGTCGAAAACAAGCAAGCTTTAATTACCAATTCTGCTAAGTCCCAGCTGATGCGTACAGGTTCTGAAAACTTTTTCTTTTGCTCAGGTCGGACATTTACGTTTATTATCTTGCTGCTTATTGCTGCATAAATATTATCACCATGAAAAGTATTCCTTATAAGAGAATGTATTGTTTTATACCACAAGATAACCACCACAGCGCCAGATTCTTTAAGTAACGCATCAAGCGAGAGGTTGAACGATGCATTTGGAAACTTGAAAAGTCTTTCCTTTGGTGACAAATTGCCTGCGTATTTTATGTATCTGAGGTTTAGCTGTACGTTGGGGTAGTCTTTAACTATAAGCGAAGTATTCGAGCTGTTTTTTAAGTTCTCTCCATATAGGAATCCATAATCTTCCAAGGTTATTACCAGATCACGAATCACCTTATTGTCCTAGAAAAGAAAATAATAGCAAGAAAGATGACACGATGAAAAACGACACGAAAAAAGAAGAGACAAAAAAAAGAATGCCTGGATTTCTAGAGTTTGAGTAGTTTGTTCCAGTCTGAGGGGGCGACCGGCCACACCTATTGGCAAAGTGGAAAATTCGTTGAAAATTTTAATCCATAAAAGCGGCGAAATTTGAGTGTCACGTGTTGTCTGGAATGTGAAAAGGTACGAGCAAGTTTTCTACTAAACGAAGCAGCGGTTTCGCCCAACACGAAGAAAATCACAAAGTTTTGTTTAACAATGTGCAGAAGTATTTTAAAGCTTTTTCTGATCAATAAAATACTAAAAGCGTGTAAATACTGTTTTATTTACAAGTAATACGGGAGCTGAAATACAAATTGTTTTAAATATTTTTGTTGTTTTTTGGTCACTTTTGTTTTGTTATGGTATATGCTAAAACAATTATTCCTTCAGTGTCGGTGAATAGCACAAGGCTAGTCACCTCGACGCTTCGTGTTTCGTTCTCGCACTATTCACCTCCACTGAATTCCGATTGGTGAATATTCGTTAATTATTCAAACTTACTGACTAGTATTTAGCATCGTTAAGTATTTAGCTGATAGCTGATTCATCGCATTCTACTCACATACAGACAAACAACAGTACAGACTAGCGACCTCTAGCAGATGTTATACAATTGCTACACAAACACATAATCGTGTATGGTCATCGATCTGTGTCGTTGAACAATGAAAAATTTGTCATGAAGTTATTGAAGATAAAATAGCATTTTGTGAGAAAACTGCAGGTCTTCGGAACGGGAACTTTTCGGATTTGAACTCAGCCTGCTTGAAAGTGTTAGTATCCGTTCAGATCTAAGACATGCTAAATGAAAGTGAACGATATCGGGTCAACACATGGACTACCGCAGCTTTTTTGCAACTCAGTCTTTGAGACTCGATTAATTTCAATCACAAACTCACCGTCATGTTTCTCCACGACTTTGTATACCTAATATCCAATATATTGCTTGCCGGACCCAATATGTTGAGATTGTTATCTGAAATATTTAGATGAACGATTGTGTGAAGTGTTCTGACTATAATAGTAAGATTTCGCGGGTCTATTCCGTTTTCTCTTTGTTCTTTGTCCATCTTATCAAGGTTTGTTAGGTTCAACAGATTGTCGATAACTTCTTTGGCAACCTTTTTTCGGACTTCATCTGACACATTCTTACAATAAAGATCATCGACCTGAAAATTGAGATGTGAAATGACATAAAATTGAAATTTTTGTTTTACTGGGCGACAGTCTTTACCGAGCAGTCTTTTCCAGTCGGAAGCGAAGCCGCGCAGGAGGCCGTAGAGAGGTGATTTGAGATCCCGTTCAATCCGAATTTGAGGTATTTTAAGTCCGAATTTGAGATAATTAGTTTCGGTAGTTTTGTTCGTATTATTATTATTATTATTATTATTATTATTATTATTATTATTATTATTATTATTATTATTATTATTATTATTATTATTATATTATTATTATTATTATTATTATTACTATTATTATTATTATTATTATTATTCACCGAAACTGGTGAATCTTTCCGCTACCTTGGTCGTTATTTTAATTTCAACATGTCAGATGAAAAACACCAATCGGATATATGTGACTTGTTTAATAATATCATATCTAAAATAGATGAATTACATTTGCACCCCCGAAATAAAATCCTGCTATACAGTCGCTACATGCTCTCGAAAATCTCATGGGACTTCACAATAACTGATATATCTCAAACATGGGTTTGCGAGACTTTGGACGGTATTGCTACTAGATATATACGAAAATGGCTCGAACTGCCAATATCTGCAACTCTAAGCAATGTCTATCTCCCTTACAACAAATTTGGTTTAAATGTCATTCCACCTTCAACGAAGTTTATACAGTGCCAAACTGTCTCACGCTTAGCTTTAAAGTCATCGATAAATGAAAACATACGTGAATTATGGTCAATAACAAGCACCAATAGGAACATTCAGTACGACATTTACTCAAACACAAAAGATGTATTGAAGGCATTTAGACAAAAAAAACTAACAGCGACTACAAAATAACCTAATGTCACAAGGTTCTTTTTTCTCAAACATCGTGAAAAACTCCACGTTGGCATTCAATTCCCTATGGTCATCGGTTCATTCAAAACTTCCTAAGAACATATTTAACTTCAGTCTACGTTACATCAACAATTCTTTGCCTACTAGGAAAAACCTAGTTAAATGGGGACTGTCATCATCTGCTGACTGTCCGTTCTGCTTCTGCCCTGAATCGCTTTTGCACATAATCTCTGGATGTAAGACATATCTAAACGAAGGGAGATATACATGGCGACATGATTCAGTTTTGAATCTCATTGCGTCCAGCCTTCTCGACGTTGGAAGGTCCAAAATGTATGTAGATCTGCCTGGATTTATTAGCCCATCTGTCATCACTGGTGACGAGTTACGACCAGACCTTCTATTGACAATTGAAAATAAGATTTTGTACATTCTATAATTAACTGTTGGATTCGAAACAAACCTGAAAACTAACTCTGATCGAAAACATGAAAAATATTTGACTCTAATTACCGATCAAGAAAACATATATGATGAAGTGAAGTTTGTTAATGCATCTATAAGCTCTTTAGGTGTATTTGGTGAATCGACGAATACTTTATTTGATATGCTCCATGATCTGAAGTACGACGAACAACGTATTAAATATGTAAAAAAGAAAATAATTGCTACTTGTATTCGCACGTCTTATTATATATTCTGTAGACGAAACAAAGACTGGAACAAACCAGAACTTTTAAACTTTTAACTAAATTTAAAAGATTTTCACCTGTATATATATTTTAGCTTTATATTCAATTCAAGTGGACATCGATAAGCTACCTTTTATTAAGTGAGGTTTATCAATGTATATATAGTATATCGTAAATATCTAATAAAAAGTTTCCATTATTATTATTATTATTATTATTATTATTATTATTATTATTATTATTATTATTATTGTTATAATAATAATAATAATAATAATAATAATAATAATAATAATAATAATAATAATAATAATAATAATAATAATAATAATAATAATAATAATAATAATAATAATAATAATAATAATAATAATAATAATCATAATAATAATAATAATAATAATAATATGGGCAAAGAATGTGTGAGATACCATAGTCGATTGGCAGAGTTGGTAGCCATAAAGAAAGGAGAAGATTATGCGACAACTATGAGTTGGATAAGAGCCAGAACCTCATTCGCTTTATTGAGATCGGCACTTACCTGCTTGAGGGGTTCTAGGGCAAGGAAAATCATGTATTATATTAGGAACATTGATTTTAACATTGAGAACGCCGAGAGTGCTATCTCTCAAACAATTTAGATTGTACAATATACAAAGTTTAATTGTTTAGTTATTTAGCGGAATATGTTAGTTTAGTTATTTAGCTACTTAGCGGTAAATATTTTAATTATGTAGCGGTATATGTTCCAGAGTTTTTTTTTAAATTTAACTGTACATATCAACAAACATTTAGTCACTTTTTAAATTATACCCAAAGTTTTTAAAAAATTATTATTGTTATTATTATTATTATTATTATTATTATTATTATTAATATTATTATTATTATTGTTTTTATTATTATTATTATTATTATTATTATTATTATTATCATTATTATCATTATTATTATTATTATTATTATTGTTATTATTATTATAATTATTATTATTATTGCTATCCGATCAACGTACTATATATTTTGCTGTAGAAATAAAGAATGGACAAATCCCGAACTAATGAACATTTAAAGTAACTATTTCTACAAATAATTAACAATTTTTGTATATAAAATTATAACCGTGAATGTATAAGTGATTCAAGTAGTCAATTGTAGGTTACCTCAAGAAGTGAGATTTACAATTGTATATATCTATAAATGTTCTATTAATAAAGTTTTCATTATTATTATTATTATTATTAATGGTTTACATGGCGACACGATTCTGTTTTAAATTTCCTCGCGTCCACTCTTACTGCTGTGAAAAATTCCACACTTTACGCGGACATTCCTGGTTTTATGAATCCATCTGTTATCACGGGAGATCGTTTACGACCTGACCTTCTGCTGGTCTGAAAACAGATGTCTATACATCCTCGAGCTTACAGTTGGTTATGAATCCAATCTGCAAGTTAACGCCAATCGTAAGCGTCAAAAGTACCGTGATCTAATCAATGAGCAGGAAGCAGATTATGATAAACTCAAGTTCGTCAATCTATCCTTGAGTCAATCTGTCCTTGGCCGATCTTCTCAAAATTTCGATGGCATGCTAAGTAGCCTTAAATGTGTTGCCAAGTATAGTAAATACATAAAAAAGAAAATCGTGAACAAATGCATACGAACATCATATTATATATTTTGTAAACGAAACAAGGTGTGGGATAACCCAAAATTAATGTTAATATAATCTTTCTTAAAATAATTATTGTACAATAAATATATAGTATCAATTCAAGTTGACATTGATAAACTACCTGTAAAGCGAAGTTTATCATTGTAGTTGTATATATCTTAATAATCAATAAATAAAGTTTCCATTATTATTATTATTATTATTATTATTTTTATTACTACTATTATTATTATTCCATCATTATTATTATTATTATTATTCCATTATATTATTATTAATACTCTATTATTACTCCATCACAATCAGCCTCAGTGAGGCTGATTGTGATGGAGTGCTGCCTTTGACTGACGACGTGATGAGACAGCTTCAGGAGAAACACCCTGAGGCACAAGAGGCCAAACTTGGGGA